GGTAAACATTCTTGCCAACAATCTCAATAGATTAAATGATTATTGGCTTGTATCTCTGATTGCCATTTCTTGGCTAGCCAGCAGTTGGGTCTCATTAGATCATGCTATCTGAGGCAAAGCAGCTTCTTGCAAGCCTCAAGAATGTTTCAGTCATGGTTTTACGACAGTGTTCACTACATATTTTTTTCAAGGAACTATTTCTTGTATTTGCCTTCCAACTTAGAATCTTACTTCTCTCTGTTCCATAGAGCTGCTTCTAAAGAAGGGGTGCCTGCATTTTCCTGACCCCTGTTTTGAGATTATCCTTACTTGAACTGGCCAAAATTTTGAAAGGTTTCTTTTTATGAGGATATATCCTAGAGGTGCTCTTTGTTCGAGTCATGTTTGTTTGGAGGCCTCATTCTTTCTCTTGTATAGAAAAAATAGATTCTTGTTAGCTTGTTACCTGTTGGGTATTGATCTATGTTTTTATGACTGCCTGAGGCAATGTTTTATTGTTTGTTTTTATTTTACAATGTTCCTTAAAGAACTTAGCCCAACAGTATACTAAGAATTTATAAGAAGGGAGAATCGCTTGACTGTAATTCTCCTTCTTTGAACATATGCATGATTCACATTCCTCAATCCTACACCAAATTAGAGGATGTTTTTGAATTGATGTACTGTTGAACATTGTAGTTTTTATCTTGACAAATTTTTGTTTTTTGTTCATATAAGAGACATTTCAGTTGGTTATGTGTTAGGAGCAGGAATTGACTGGAAGGTTGTAGAGGCAGTTGTTGGCGTACATTGGCCAGGGTGTCAAAAAATCTGTATGATGCCTGCTGCTACAGTATCCTGTAAAGGCCAAAAAGCCTCTGAGCTAGGTTAGTTTTGCCTTCATGTTGGTAGCTCAAGACACAAGAGTGAGAATCCTGTATGAAGGTCTCTTTTTAAAGAAGCAGATTTAGAGGTGAGTAATTTCCCCCTCTTTAATTTTTATTTAATTTAACAGTTGGTCTAACCAATTGTTAAACTGTATTATTTGAAAAAGAGTCAGCTGTCTTAAAACAACTTTGAAACTTTCACTATATATGTAAGTAATTATAGTGATCACATTAGAATCTCTACAACTTTATATTTGCATAAATAATATTACTGCAGTGTTCATGATAGTCCTTGGTCTTGTTATAAGGAATACTGTGGTAATGTTAATTACTTGCAAACAGTACTGGTGAAGATTTTAATGATGACCACTTCATTATCTATCTATTTATTTTATTTATTTATTTGTATTATAGGAACACTTAAGAGAGCCAGACCAAAATTACAGCCTGTATTTACTAGGCATGGTACATACTCCCAGTAAGAGACAAGATCTTTTTTCATGAACCTTTATTTTTTTTTTAATTGAACCTAATGGGGAAACCTAGGGGGAAATCCAAGAAACAGTGCACTGTCTTGCTATGGAGGAGGAGTTTCTAAGAGGACTTTATTAACAGTGGATTAGGCCACACCTCACTGATACTTCTGAGGTAAAATGCTCTGACTGCAGACTTTTTTCTTCAGGGTCTTACTGGCCAATCAAAACAGGAGAGAATTTTTAATTTTTTGAAGGAAGATATTGTGATGTTGCACTCCATAATGTTTTATTGATATATGCTTATGAGTGTGAATATAATGTAACTAGAATATGCTTAATGCGAAAGGTCTCTTGTAAGGTATCATTACAAAGCTTATGATCTACTGAGTGTGTTCATCCTATTTGTTTGCATGTATTATTTCTATGTCTGAAGTTAGGAAAATAAGATATAAATTTGTATTACTGATGTAAGCCCATTAAGTGGAAGCCATTAAGGGTGCTTCAGAATCAGTGACCTGTAAATGGCCTTCCTGTGTGCGTGTGGGCCAGCCCATGGGTAATGAAGAATGAGGTCTCACCGGTCATGTGACCAGGTCACATGATTCGGGAATCCATCTTAAATCTGGTACTTTTCCATTTAGAAAGAGGGGTGGGGACCCAGAGAGACAAAAGATTCCCGCCTTGTGCCTAAGCTATAAAAGGGGGTGGACAGAACAAAGCGGGCTGCCAATCATGAGAAAGCCCCTAGTTACCACCTGAGCTGGAACTAACAAGGACTGCACCAGGGGAAAGGATTGGGCCCAGACTAGGAAGGAGTCTAGTCTGTGATGGAAGCTTATTGGAACATCTCTGAGGGTGAGATTTTACCTGTAAACAGTTTCTTAATATATTAGGCTTAGACTTGCGTGTTTTTGCTTTATTTTGCTTGGTGATTTACTTTGTTCTGTCTGTTATTACTTGAAACTACTTAAATCCTACTTTTTGTACTTAATAAAATCACTTTTGTTTATTAGTAAACCCAGAGTATGTGATTAATACCTAGGGGAGCAAACAGCCGTGCATGTCTCTCTATCAGTGTTACAGAGGGTGGACAGTTTGAGTTTACCTTGTATAAGCTTTATACAGAGTAAAACGGATTTATTTGGGGTTTGGATCCCATTGGGAACTGGGTGTCTGGGTGCTGGAGATAGGTGACTTGCTGAGCAGTTTTTGATTAAAGTCTGCAGCTTTGGGGGGCGTGGACCAGACCTGGGTCTGTGTTGGAGCAGGCTAACTTGTCTGGGCTCAACAAGGCAGGGTTCTGGAGTCCCAAGCTGCCAGGGAAAACGGGCTCAGAGGTAATTCTCCTTGGGACATCAGGTGACAGTCCCAAGGAGATATGACTTAGTTTACCCTGAGGCAGTGCCACAAAGAAGTGCTCTGAATGATGAGAGTAGGATAACTGCAAATTGCTTCTTAAATGGAGGTAGTTATTACAAGTTTTTACCTTTAAATTCAGATTATAAGACCTTTAGATGGTGCCAAACTACCTCGATGTTTCATGTAGGCAGTTGTGTTCCACACTGGTGGATGTCATTCTGCATGGTGATATTGTATAGGTGAAGTAAGTCCTGTGTAAATGTGATGTCTCGTAATTAATCTAGAATTTTTTTTGCAGTTAATGATACTGGGTATGTGATTTGAGGGTTGGAGTTAAGTTGCATTCTAAAATGGTATGCAATTATTATTAGTCACTGTTGTAGTATGTGCATAACTTAATTATGTCATATATACTGAGAATAAATTCTTCAGCTCTACTGAAGTAGAATTTAAAAAAATATTAAACAAACATCCAGGCACAAGAAAATACAACATATATTGGTGTAATTGTGTTTTTCTTCTGAGACAACTTTTCCCCAATAAGTTAACTCTTCCATAATTAACTGTAGTTAAAATCCAGTGAATTGTCTACATTCTGAATTGTGATTTTAGTTTCCCTCCTTTCTATTCAAAAGGAGAATCTAAATGTGAAATATAAAACAAGTATTTAATAAAACTAATACTAAATTCTTAACCCTTAAAACCATGTTGCATATGGAACGTCGGTCTGGGAATAAAAGTTAGTATATACCCAGAGTGGTGAAACCCTTTATTTATTGAGTGGGACTTCTTCAGCTGGTCTCTGAAACTTTATTACTTAAGTTAATCTTTCCCCTACTGTCAGTTGGCAAGTGGAATGTTCCATGGTGCCTGGTATGAAGCTGTACTTTTTCTAAAATAAGTTAGCAAAGCCAGAGGTTGTAAACTGACTAGCTGGCCAGTGGCCATTTATGATTACCCTGTTGCTCCTGTTCTTCTCCATGCTCCCTCTCATTCCTTCTCTTCTCATCTTTCTTGCCTTTCTAGTTCATCGCTTTTTCCCAGCTGTCCTTTCTGCCTCATCTTTCTGGCTTACCACAACTCCTTGTTGTCATCCAACTCTCTCCTGTGCTTAGGAACTTGCCCAGCAGTTATTACTACCTTCATCTTCTTATTCTGTAACTCTAAACTTATTCCTTCTTCCCCTTCCCCCACACACAATCACATATTGAGGAAAATAATCGGAGTTATGCTGTTATACCATGCCTTGGAGATTTTAGTATTCCATATACTTAACTTCACATGCCATGTTGTCTGTCCATATAGCAAGGAAATACTCCTATAACTTGGGCTTGTAGCCAGTCAACTTGTAAATTGTCAGGTCTGTATTTTCTGGTGAATACGTTTATCAATCCAATGTATGGTATTTTGCACTTTTCATAATAAATATGTTATGTGGAAAGATTACATACACACAGACATGTTTTACAAATAGATACAAAGTTCCTGGAAATATTTCCATGCAGTATTTATGATAATAGTTAAGCATGTAACTTTGAAGACATAAATGAGTATTGATACTTTAAACTGCATTCATATGATCCTATGGAAAAAGAATGTATATTCAATCTCTTTATAACCAGATTTCATATGATTCATATGGAAAAAGAATGTATAACCAATCTAGTTATAACCAGAATGTATATCCAATCTAGTTATAACCAGATTTCAATAAAGGCTATTATTTTTCCTATCACTGTTTCCCCCCCCCCCCCAAACCCACTGCTGAGGCTGAAAGTTATTTCAAAAACAAAGATCTTAACAAATTCTTACTAAAATGTTTTAAAATCTTTGTCTTTTGATTCTTTTGCCATTTACACTGAACCCAATAGGAAGCTATCCTCCTTATTTTACGTAATTTATAAATAAACAATGCAGAATTGAACAGTGAACAAACTTTTACTCTTGGTGTTCAATAATTCAGTCTTTTAAAATATATTTCCATTGAGGGCAATCTTTGCATTAAGACTGTATTTGGCTAAAAAAAATTCCTAAGCATCTCATTTTCTAAACGTATATAGAATTTTTGTGAGTACCATAAGATATGTCTTTCTGTCTAAAGCCTATGAGAAAGAATAGCATTAAGAAAGGTGTCCACTGTTTTTCCTGTTTACAGTTTTCATATATTTTCATTGTATGTATATATATATATATATTATAGTTTTAATTATTCCACTTATATAATTAGTGTGAAATAATACAATAACTTGAAAAGAAAAAATATTTTCATAAAGATAATATGGCAAAAATATTTTTGCAGGTACCTTTTGGTTTATAATCCTACAGAACAGGAGCGGTTCTCTGTGGTTTCAATCTATGTGAATTCACCCAAAGTTAAAGTATTATCTCCTTCGGGGAAACCTGTTATGGTCCAGATTAGTGGAGTATGGGATGGAACAACTACAGTATCACATGAAGCATATCAGGTATGTCACTTGAAATAAAAAGTGTAAGTTATACTGATTTGCACTTAGATATGTACTATAGCTTCACATTAGAGGAGAAAATAAAATAAAGAGAACTAGACTTCATATATATGAATCATACCAATTTTATAAAGAAGATTCTGTGTGTGAGAGAGAGAAGGAATAATTAAATCATTTTGGTCTTCATTTAGGCCTAAGAAATACAGTAGCACCAACTTTCTAAACTTCATTACTTTTTGTGATATTACCAAAGCTTAATACTGGATTAAGTGTTTCAGTAATGAGCCTCATTTTGAGGAATTTATTATTTGGTATCATTTAAAATTCCTTTGGGTTGAAACTTAGAGTGTATGTGTTTAACTAGAATTTTTTCCCCTAACTTTTCTGCAAGTGCATTGATCTCTGTATCTTGTTTACATTTCTGTTTATCCATGTTTGAGTCAGAAAAGTGGATATGTTGAAATATTTGTTTTAAAGTTGTTGAAAATTGTTTGAATAGCAGCTGCTGTGTACATGTGTTAGATACTTCATTTCTTTATCCCCATTCATTTAAATGGCAATTAGACATCACAGGGATGTTATAGCCATTTCACTGCATTTCTGAGGGGCTGTATGTACTTGAATTCGATGTCCTGGTTACAAGTAGAGCCCTGAGGCCAATTTTGAAGTGTTTCAAGTAATGATTTTTTGTAACTTTTCCTTTTTAATAAATAGTCTTACACATACAAGGATTTTTCTTTTACCCCAAAATAACAACAATATCACAGATTCAAATCTTAGTCTCTTAGAACTTCACAGAGCAGTGGAATGAAAACTCCCATCCTTTGGAAGGCTATGTTTTTTATAGTGTGCAGTGTATCAGGCCACACTATTAAATGTATTTTGCTTAAGGGAAACTGTTTCTATTAAAAATAGACTATAGCTCCTCCTTATGCGAGGATTAAAGACTCAAGCCAAGGAAATAGGGCCCCTTTCTTACTAAGTGAGAGGCTCAGATATGAAGACTTTTTTTTTAAGAGAAGTCTACAATGGTGGTGATAGTACTATCATTCCAACAAACAAAAAATGTTTTTTTTCCCCAAAATATGCAATGCTCGCTGTTGGAGGGAGTGTTGAGAGATGTGAACATTTACACTTTGTGTGAAAGTGAGTATCACAGAACTATTGAACTAAAGTATTAGAACACATTTTTAAAAAAAAGTAACATAAGGTGTACATTTTAAGAATCCATTGTTAATCTTTCTTGGATTACCATTTTAATTAATCAGCTTTTTGGAGTACACAGCCTTAATATCATAACTTCTGTTATGAGAAGTTCAGAAGAGAGAAAAACACTCCCCTTACTCTTTCTTGGTAGGGGAAAAAAAGGGGGGGGATGGGGGAATGATTGTAGCAGAGAAGTCAACACAGCAAATTCATACCTAACAGGGCGTACAAAGAAATATACTAATAGTAATATATGGATATAATAGTATATTAGTGTACTAAGACTAAATTTTTTTAAAATACTTGTTATTGAAAGAAATGTTGATACTAGTCGTTATATTCTTAGAAGGTCTCATACTGGCAGGATATATGCAATATAAAGGTACAGCTGAATCCTAAGAAAATAGGGACACTTTATACTTACAAGAATGTTAAACTGGAAGGCTAAAATTTGTATGCTATAGGACTTTAACACATTAGTTTGGATTGTTGGGTTCTTGTAGACATATTGATTTTCATTCATAAATACTGTACTTCAGAATTAGGATGGTTAAAAATTCTGTAAATAAAAATTTATTTAAAATAATTTCAATTGTCTTTGTAAATGAACAACATTATCACAATATCCCTTAGTGTAAGGAAGTTTAAGGAATGCCACAAATATAGTGGTAATGGTATCCAGTAGCAAAAAGCACAATTGAAAAGTTTAAGAGTTCCAATGTGGCTCTTCTGTCTTCTCTTCATCTCAGATGGAAAAAGCTCTGGGTAATGTGGACTTCAAAGAGTAATGTAGAGGTAAAATTCAGGTACAGTCAGATCCACTATCTGCTGTCCTGAAGTGGAAGAAAAAGCATAGTTTCCACCACTCTATTGACTAAGTGGAGGGGGTGTTTGGCTATAAAAGCATTATCAGAGGAGGATCTGAGATGACATTTGAGCTAAGAGGACCTTCAGATCCAAAGACTTGAGCTGTAGGGTCTTGGATCCCTAGTCCCCTGGGTCTAGACTCTGATGTAGTCTACATTTCTCTGTACTCAAGCTTGATCCTTGCCTTGGAGCCAACGCCTGCTTTTGGTTCTGTCTGATAATTCTGGGAAATTTCAAACCGTATTGCATCATAGAGATTCTTCTCAATCATCATGTGCCAGTAGTTGTATTTTACTATGAACTTCGCACTGAGATTTGTCAAAAAAAACAATGTTACATGGAGCTCTGTTCAGATGTTTACTTAGCATTACTCTTTTGATCTGGAAGCCAGATTGAATTCCTATTTCAGAATCATTTTCCTACAGTGTATATTCTTTTCAGCCCTCTTCTAAGGGGCTAATTACTGCTAATAAATCTCAAGTGTGGGGCTCTGTAGAGGCTGTTCTAGAAGGAGAAAGGAAAGTTTACATACGGAGTTCTGGGCACATTGTTTCCAGAGACCCACCCACCCTGTTTCTCTGCTGTGAAGATCTTTATATGGCTTCTAAGTAAGCAGCAAAGAATCAGTGGCAGTTTGGGCCACATTCCATTATATCCTCCAGTTCTGATCCATAATGGTATGTTAGTGTTGTGTTCCAACATTCTCTGCTTTCTAGAATATTTCTGACCCTTAGCATCAATTTTATGCTCATCTCCTTAATGTGTGGCAATATGCTCAACTCAAGATTACAGATCATATTTCTTTATAGCAATAGATTAAAAATTGTAACTGTTGTTCATCTTAGTAAACAATGATCATGCCCTTCTGAAATATTACTAATCAGATGAATAGCAGGAAAAATTTTATTTGTGATGAAATATTAGAACGTTTGATTTAATAATTTGAAATATTCTTATTAATAATCTAATACTAATTTGCGTTCTTGGAAATTTGGGCAAAATTCAGTGCTGATGTAACTGTTGAGATGAATAGAAATGCAGCAGGCATGAATTTGGTGCAGTATGTTCAGAATTTTATTTTAATGGTAGTACATTTTTAATACATTTTCTTCTTGCTCCAACAGATCTCTTTTATGGTGCACCTACCGCCTTTAGGTCTGGGAGTTTATCAGCTTTTGGAGGTTCTGAGTTCAGAAATGGTCTTGGCTGATTATAATATATATACTAGTGGAGGAAATAATGTGCAGGTGAACCCAGATAAGGTTTTCAAGATCAAGGAGATGCAAAATTCTGCAGATGACATTACTTTAGAGAACTCCTACATGAAACTATGGTTTTCTGGGATCTCAGGGCTTCTGAAGGTGTGTTGGCTCACAATTTGAAATATTGTACTTCTTATTCATAAGAATATTGATGCATAAAAACTATAAATGTGTCACCCTCTCAAATTGTAATTATTTATCTTTAGAAAATTAACACAAAAGAAGATGGCAAAAATCATCAAATAAAAGTGGAATTTGCTTGGTATGGAACCACAAGTAACAGAGATAAGAGCGGGGCTTATCTCTTCTTACCAGATGGAGAGGCCAAGGTAATAGTACTCATATTATATTTGTAAATAAAGGCTTTCATCCTGAAAGATCCCCAAACACTTTGCAAACTATGTATAGAAGCAGTAGTTGACCCACCATTGAAATATAGCTACATCTTTTGTGAAGCACCGCATTCAAATTATGCACATTGGAATTTTAACAGGACACTGAAAGTCTTAACAGAAAGTGCCATGGGATTTTCAATGACCACAAGTGGCCAAGACCTCATTTTCATATCTTATGGTAAAAGTGTATTGCAGATATTCATTAATTTTTCCTAGCTTTCCTTTCTCCCTATTTCTCTTTTTCTCCCTTTAGTCTGAGATTGGATATACTAAATTTATACATGGAATAACATAGTGAATATGCTAAACTTTTTTAAGATTGTAAGCTCGTTGTGGGATTGGCTGTTACTTATGATGTGTTTATACAGTGCCTAGCATGATGCAGCCCAACTTTCATTGAGATGTTCAGCACTACTGCAACATAAATGATGATAATAAACATAAAAGGAAGAGCAAATGACTGTCTAATTCAGCTATCATCTACTACAAACAGGCATCATTTTAGTTCAGCAATTATTTTTTTAAAAATCACATACCCTTTTCAGTTAACTCTTGTGTTTATTTTCAACTTCCTTGGAAATTCAGAAACATGCAGTGTATCTGTACTTGTTACCATGTATATTCATATTAATGAAATATTTCTCAGAATTCAAAAATATTTTTCCAGAGAAATGCTATAAACTGAATATGGTGTAGAAAACAGTTTTATAAAGGTAAATGATAGCATGCTGTTTAATATTTCTCTTCATTCTTCATTTCAGTTTTCCCTTGGAGGAACTTTAATTGCTAATGTAGGGTCAGATTGAAGCCCTTCCTGTGTGTTTGCTCAAGGAAGAAAGGGCATATAACATGTTTATTGTCCCTTGTACTGGCTAGCCATACTGTGGGTGGAGCAACTTTTGTATTCTTGCTGCTTCCCACCACCTTAGCTTTGGGGATATGTAGGGCTCACATAGGGTATATCCCACCTCCCCTCCACTCAGTTCCTCCCTCCCTTCTGTAGTGGGAAAGGCAGACTGTGACTGAGTCATAGTCAGTTTCCTGGGGCAGTGAACCAGCATGCTGCCTCGTACACAAGGCTCCTGGTAAAGTCATCATTGAACTCTAAACAATGCATCAGTCAGGTTGACATAACTACACATCTCAGTATTCTTATGAGCCCCAGTGGGAACATGGACAGATTTCTGAGGAGGAGTACAAATAATAGCACAAGCATGTAGGGACAAAATCAGAAAGCTAAGGCACAAAATGAGTTATACTGAGCAAAGGAGGTAAGAAGAAGACGTTTTTAAAATATATTAGGAGCAAGAGAAAGATGAAGGAAAATGTAGGCTCTTTACTTAGCAGGGAAGGAGAGCTAATAATGTGTGACAAAAAGGGGGCTGAGGTATTTAATGACTATTTTGCTTCAGTCTTCTCTAAAAAGGTAAATTGTGACCCAATATTTAACACAATTAATATTAACAGGGGGTAGGAATGCAACCCAAAATAGGGAAAGAACGAGTTAAAGAATATTTAGATAAGTAAGATGTATTCAAGTTGGCAGAGCCTGATGAAATTTATCTTAGAGTACTTTAGGAACTAGCTGAAGCAATCTCGGTTAGCAATTATCTTTGAGAATTCCTGGAGGAAGGGTGAGGTTCCAGAGGACTGGAGAAGGGCAAGCATACTACCTCTCTTTAAAAGGAGAAGCAAAGAGGCCCTAGAGAATTTTAGACCAATCAGCCTAACTTCAATATCTGGAAAGATACTGGAGCAAATTATTGAACAATAAGCTTGTTAGTACCTAGAGAATAGTAGTCATAAGTAATAGCCAACATGGATTTGTCAAGAACAAATCATGCCAAACCAATTTAATGGCATTCTTTGACAGGGAACTCTTCTGATGCCTGATAGTTCTTTCAGGAGTACCAAGAACTCCTGATTTTGAAAGACAATTAATACAGGACTTTAAAGGAGCTACAATAGTTAGTAACGTTGGTCAGGAACCCCTGTCAGATAGTGATGCCACACCCTTGCACTCCACTGTGAACCAGCTGCTGAAGAAAGTGTGGCAAGGACATAAAAGGCTGTTACAAGGAGGAAGGAGAAAAATTGTTCTTCTTAACCTCTGAGGATAGAACAAGAAGCAGTGGGCTTAAATTGCAGCAAAGGCAGTTTAGGTTGGACATTAGGAAAAACTTCCTAACTGTCAGAGTGGTTAAGCATTGGAATAAATTGCCTAGGGGGGTTGTGGAATCTCCATCATTGGGGATTTTTAAGAGCAGGTTGGACAAACACCTGTCAGGGATGGTCTAGATAATACTTAGTCCTGCCTTGAGTGCAGCGGACTGGACTAGATGACCTCTCGAGGTCCTTTCCAGTTCTATGAGTCTATGAAAAACCTCACCTCACTATACCAGCCTTCAAGGCAATGAGGAAAAAATATATTCTCCCCAAGGATGTATGGTCTCTCAGCTCCCCATGGGAGCTTGCGGGGAGGTGGGGACAGAGCCATAAATAGAGGGAAGATTAAACACAATTATGGTACTGCTTTCCCAAAAATTAAGCAGTGATGTTGATAATGAATTGAGCAAAAAGTTTACCAGATCATGACTGCTACATTTCACATTGTGAACTTTGACCCAAAGGTCAGGTGGAACTATGGAAAAAGGCCTCCACCCTAGATGCTTAAAGTCTATAAGAGTGTAGACCTGGCCTGGCTTCAGGTTTGGGCAACCTTTGCAGGTAAGCCAATGAAAGAATCTTTGCCCCAAGTTTGGAAGCCTGTTGGTCTGCTTTGCTGTTCCATCGAAATACTTTGGTCTCAATAGCAATAGCATTTTTAGCTCAGTGTTCTGGAGCTGAGGTTAGTTCTTGTATGTATGAAGGACCTTCAGAGACTCAGTATCCCAAAAAATTGTCCTGTTTAAAATGGACAGCTAGGCCACCATGTTTTACATAAACATAGAGGGAGACACCAGGTTGTGAATCCCTCTTTTGTGAAACAGTGCAGGTGTGGAGTATTTCGTGTCCTACAAGATGAGCCCCATCACCGTGTATCCGACGGGGAAAGAGAACACAATCACAGATAGGGCTGAGCTGAAACAGATCTTCACAAACTGGCAGATCAGATTTTCCTCTACTACAGGACACCAGCAGTGGATCTCGTCATAAATCACCCAAACAAGAATCTCTGCTTCTCATCATGGTATCAAAAAGATCATAGTAACATGATACTCTGTAAGAGGCTGTTACATGGCTTTATACTAAACTCTGTTGTTGTAAATGTACTGCCAAATTTCAGAAGAGACAATGGTTTGAAGATAGTAGCTCTTATTGCTTAGACAAGTATGGTTCTTTACTCTGTTGCAAAGGGCCATAGTCAGTATGATTCATGCTGTTGAGTCTGGTCTCAGATCGTCACTCAGAACCACAATACCTGCTTCATCACAATATGGGAGTCTTCTCCCAAAGAGCTTGCCTTCTGACATAAAGATCCATGTGCATGGTGTATCTGAGAAGGTGGTTCTTGACTTCTGAGGTGCCAGAAGGACATTTAACAGAAGGACATACAAGTCCAAGTGGAAAAAGCTTTTAGTGCAGTACAAACAAACCCCATGGACTCCCTTACTTACCTCATACACAAACTGCTTAACTATCCTGTTTACCTGCCTGGGTTTAATTTAGAGTAACAGCATCCAGATACATTTGACAGTACTTGTGGTTTATTGTGAACTGATTGAAGATAGACCAGTGTCTTTGTAGCAACTTGTCATCCAATTTGTGCACCCTTAAGAAAACCCTTTGCGGTATAGGATGTTAATGTCCTGACAAAGCTGATGAACTGCTCATTTTGAATGGCTCTGTTCCTGTGATAGCTAGGAGTGGGAGTATCAATCTGATGAGCCAAAGGACTACTTTTTGAAGTTGAAACAGACTTTAGTATTTGGTTGCAAGAGCTCATAGCAGAGTTGGATGGCAAAAAGACACACCAAAGAAGTCTTTGTGCCATCTAACTCTTCTCTGAGTTCTCAATATAAAATATGGTCTGTTTCAACTTCAAAAAGTAGTCCTTTGGCTCATTAGACTTATTTTCCCTCATGGCAATCAAGAGAGAGTCACCAGTAGGGGAAAGTTGTCTGAGAAATGGGACTGGAAACCAGCTCCTGTGACAGCCTCAGGGACAAGTTTCCCCCATTTTTTGCTTCCGAGAGGAGGGAGAGAAGACTTGTCCCTGAATCTGTCTCAAGAGCCAGACAGGCATCCTTTTTTCTTTAAACAAATTCCTTGAGCATCCAGCATAGAAAATTTTGGTCAGCAAAGTACAGATGATTCATTGGCTGGAGTCATTGCTGGAGATCAGTGAGTTCGGAGATCTGCTGCTACTACTAGCCTTTCATGCACAAGAGCTCCTCCTGTGCTGACCCCATCAAACAAGACAAAGAGTATGAACTGGGCAGTCAGAAGGAGGAGTGTTAGGTGAAAAGCTGTTATGAACAATTCTCTGTTCATTTCTTCAAACAGCAGCTCCATGGCGTGAACCACCTCTGGTTTCCCAGGTAAATTGCAGGAAGCCAACCTCAGAGGCTGGAGCCCAGTGGCTATTACTAGAGACTGGGGAAGCATTTGAGGGAAGAGAAGTCATTAATGGGTGAATGATGGGGAGCAAGTAGCAAGGAGGTTAAAAAAGCAAGGGACCCATTTCTACCCTCATCTTCTATATCCATGCACAATTAATATTCATCTCTCCTAATCCTATAGAAATGTGCCTTTAATCTTCAGTTATGACCCTTGGACTTCGGCTCCTATCCTCAGCCTTCCTACCAGTAGTCCCAATCTGACAAACCCACTCTGGATCAGCAAACTGGGGCTAGGAGTTGGCAGTTTGAGAGGCGCTGTGCTCCTAAGACAGCTTCAGCTCCTGGACTCAGCTGTCCTTCTGTCTCCTCCTAATCCCCTGTAATGTTCAGATGGAATGGGATGGGGCAAGGCTGAACTAGAACTAAAGCTTTGTCAGGAGTGCAGTTAATGGTTCAGCTAAGTCAGGGGTAGGCAACCTATGGCACGTGTGCCAAAGGCGGCACGCGAGCTGATTTTCAGTGGCACTCACACTGTCTGGGTCCTGGCCACCTGTCCGTGGGGCTCTACATCTTCATTTAAAATTAAATTAAACTTCTTAAACATTTTAAAAAACTTATTTACTTTACATGCAACAATAGTTTAGTTATATATTATAGACTTATAGAAAGAGACCTTCTAAAAACTTTAAAATGTATTACTGGCACGTGAAACCTTAAATTAGAGTGAATAAATGAAGACGTGGCACACCACTTCTGAAAGGTTGCCGACCACTGAGCTGTCTATGCTGTAGTGGCTCCTTCTGTGTTTTTCCAAAAGTAATTGTGCATTGAGTTTAAGCTAGGGCAGACCAGTGATGGTAGTTTTTCCCTGTGTGTGTACGTACGTGTGCGTGTGCGCAAACTGGCAAAAAAGTACTAGACAACTTCAGGAATTCCCTTTCTTTTTTGGATATCTGAAATCAGGAATCCCTTGTCCAATTGACTTCAGGTTTTTTAGAAACATTCTACTTCAGCTCCCACAACTGACCTACTAATTTCCAGGTATATTTGACTATTTTGTGGATTTTAGGGGGACCAACATCATGCTTTAAACAGATAATCTGCTGCAACTTTAACTATGGAGCTAGTATACATCACTCCACAGTGGTTGGACCAAACAGACAAAAAATTCTTCCTGTTCTTTCAGCTGTGTTCACACTTCCTGCTTTGCTCAATCCGTACATTCATTTGATATGTTAAATGTGAACAGAAACTGTGTTGAAATCAACTGTTAAAAATAAATGAAATCGTCTAACGGTGACTTGGGCTTTGGGTATGAAGTCCTAGGTATGTAAGCAGCAGCTGACAAGTATAACTTTGTGAGAAAGAAAATTGAAGCTAAAATATATGTAATCAGAGTAATATGTTACTTAACACTTATGTTGCTCTGATCTCCAAAATGCTTCACAAATATTAACTCAATTTTCACAACATACGTGTGAGGTATGTAATGAAGATTATCCTCATTTTCAGCCAAGGTAGGATTAAGAAAATTGCCCAAGACTACAAAGAAAGTCAATGTCAAAGTAGGGATTAGAAGTTATGAATTCCCAGCTGCCAGTCTTGTGTTCAGATGACCAGACCTACACTCATCTACTATAGATTAAAAGTTATTTTTGGAGGGATTTTTTAAATTAGGATTTAAACCTATTTAATAACTGATATGCTGTGGATTTTTTATGCTGTAAACAATACCGTTGTTTTAACTTTGTTTTTGTCTTTTTGCAGCCTTATGTTTTCACGGATCCACCTACCATAAGAGTTACTCATGGAAGGATTTTCTCAGAAGTTACTTGTTTTTTCCATCATTTGACACACACAGTGCGACTCTACAAAGTTCAGGGTAAGAGATTTTAAAACTGCAGTTACACGTGTCATTTTATTTTCTGGCTAATTTTGTTGTTCAGTTTGGACCTTACGTTAGCTTTCCAGTGCTTTCATAACTTGTTATGCTTAGTACAGTGCTGGTCTAGGAATTGCCTTCTGATTGCAGCATTCACTGGGTTTAAGGACAAATGATCTATTCTTGTGTCTTGCAGCAGTCACTCAACTAAAGGCAGACTTAAATCCAACAAATCTTCCTGGCGGAGGACTCCCTCAACATTGGGAAATCCTCTTATGGTGTAGGGCTGCCAGCTCCTACACCATAAAAGCATAGACTTTAAAGTCAGAAGGGACCATTATGATCGTCTAGTTTGACCTCCTGCACAACGCAGCCCACAGAATCTCTCCCACCCACTCCTGTATCAAACCCCTAACCTATGTCTGAGCTATTGAAGTCCTCAAATCATGGTTTAAAGACTTCAAGGTGCAGAGAATCCACCAGCAAGTGACCCGTGCCCCACGCTGCAGAGAAAGGCGAAAAAACCCCAGGGCCTCTGCCAATCTGCCATGGAGGAAAATTCCTTTCTGACCCCAAATATGGCAATCAGCTAAACCCTGAGCATGTGGGCAAGACTCACCAACTAGACACCCAGGAAAGAATTCTCTGTAGTAACTCAGATCGCACCCCATCTAACATCCCATCACAGGCCATTGGGGATATTTACCGCTAATAGTCAAAGACCAATTAATTGCCAAAATTAGGCTATCCCATCATACTATCCCCTCCATAAACTTATCAAGCTTAGTCGTGAAGCCAGATATGTCTTTTGCCCCCACTGCTCCCCTTGGAAGGCTATTCCAGAACTTCACTCCTCTGATGGTTAGAAACCTTCATCTAATTTCAAGTCTAAACTTTCTGATGGCTGGTTTATATCTATTTGTTCTTGTGTCCACATTGGTACTGAGCTTAAATAATTCCTCTCCCTCCCTGGTATTTATCCCTCTGATATATTTATAGAGAGCAATCATATCTCCCCTCAGCCTTCTTTGGTTAGGCTAAACAAGCCAAGCTCTTTGAGTCTCCTTTCATAAGACAGGTTTTCCATTCCTCGGATCATTCTAGTAGCCCTTCTCTGTACCTGTTCCAGTTTGAATTCATCCTTCTTAAACATGGGAGACCAGAACCGCACACAGTATTCCAGATGAGGTCTCACCAGTGCCTTGTATATCGGTACTAACACCTCCTTATCTCGACTGGAAATACCTCGCCTGATGCATCCCAAGACCGCATTAGCTTTTTTCACAGCCATATCACATCCTGTGATCAACCAATACTCCGAGATCCTTCTCCTTCTCTGTTACTTCCAACTGATGCATCCCCAGCTTATAACAAAAATTCTTGTTCTTCTTCGAGTGATTGCTCAGGTGTATTCCACTATAGGTGTGCATGCTCGCCACGTGCACCGGTGCCGGAAGTTTTTCCCTTAGCAGTATCCGTAGTGGGGGAGCACTGCTGCGACCCCTGGAGTGGTGCCAATATATCGCGCCATAAAGGGGGCTGCGTGCTCCCCCCACCCTCAGTTCCTTCTTGCCGCCTGTGAAGGTAGTCGGAACTTGCTCCAGCCTTGGCTGCAGCGTTTATAGCCTTAGTGGTATCTAACTCACTGAACTGTTTCTTTGCTGAACTTTTCTTTCGTTAGTGCCTGGCTCGGGGCATGCCTCATGGCCCAGGCTTCAAGTCGTGCGACTCTTGTCGCAACTCTATGCGCAGAAGCGATCTACACACTCAGTGTCTTCGCTGTCTGGGCGAGGCTCACATTAGTGAGCGTTGTAAGATTTGCCGCTCCTTCAAGCCTCGGACAAAGCGGAAGCATGAGATCCAACTCCACGCTTTGCTAATGGAGTCGGCACTGGCCCCGGCACCGGCGTGTCGACCCGGCACCACGTCTTCGGTGCGCAGCGAGGCACTGCCGTCGACTCGGCACTGTTCACCCAGTAAGAAGCAAGGGAAGACTCAGCGGCGCTGAGAGAAGGAGAGGGTTGAGGCCAGACCAGAGTTGGGCAGCCCATGATCCCCGTCAGGACAGAGACCTCCGACTCGCGCTGAGTGGAGTAATGCAGTCCTGTCTGCGCGAGCCTTGCCTGAAGTGCGCATGCCTTCGACGCCAGAGGCAGTTCAGGCCGCGCATGACATCCTAGCCCTTCTGGTGCCGGGAGCGCCACCTCAGTCGGGTCCCTAGTCCCGTGGAAAGCCGCCTTTGGGCGCCCATCAGCCCTCCCCGGAGGTATCGGAGGTCGAGGTACCTTCCAGGGTCGAGGTGCCGAGCAGAGGTCCGCGTCGTACGTCAACTCTGTGTGCCGGCTCTTCTGCGAGCGAGTCCCACTCCTCCCGGTCTCGAGCGCCGTAGAGGAGGTGACAAGAGGCGATGCTATCCCTCCGAGAGGAACAGGTCCCGACGCTGTCGGCACTGGCACTCGTATTCCAGTGCCCGCCATCACAGAGGCCGTGCTCCGAGTCCGTCCCGAGAGTCCCCGGCACCGAGGTGCCGTGGCCTCAGGCACCTCAGGGAATCCACAGACAGCTCCTCGGACATCTACCTCTCGACTTCATCCAGGTCGAAGTCTCGGGGCAGGAGCCGTCACGACAGAGACCGCTCCAGTCGTTCCTATGGCACCGTGCGCTCCTCCAGGACTTCGGTATTGGCGCGCAGCCATCTCTCCCCAGGCCGCACCGCACCGCAGGAGCAACCAGCTCTGCCTGCGCCCCAGGCGTCCCAGTTCCACGCTGTGCCCTGGCAAGGACAATGATGCCAGTGGGCACCGTGGCCTCAGGCACCCTCACAGCCGGGACCTCGCTCCGTGGCGGGAGCCTCTCAGGGCCGCCCTGCATCACCTCCCCGGGACCAGGATGGGGCCGCAGGCGCCGAACAACCGGCACCGACCCCGGGACACGACCCGGACGTCGAGCCTACGATGCCGTGAGTGGCTGAGGGCACCGCACCATCTACTTCTTCGGCGCCGGGCGATTCAGTTGCGGTACTGCCTCCCTCTTCTCAAGACGACTTCAAGGCGCACCAAGAGCTGCTTAGGAGGGTGGTAGCAAATCTCGAGCTCCTGGCCGAGGAGATGGAGGAGCCCTCCGACACATTGTTTAATGTCCTCATCTCCTCGGTACCGGGGCGGGTGGCCCTCCCATTCCATCAGGGGGTGGCCAACATCACCACCGGCCTCTGGCAGACCCCAGCCTCTCTTGGCCCCATTTCCAAGAAGGCCAAAAGGAAGTATTTCATCTCCGCAAGGGGTCACGAGTACCTATACACCCACCCAGCTCTGAACTCTTTGGTGGTAGTGTCGGTCCACCACCGTGAGCGGAACGGCCAGCCCGCACCCACACCAAAGGACAAGGATGCTCGGAGACTTGACACCTTTGGGAAAAAGGTTTATTCGTCTTGCCAGTTTCCAGCTCAGAGTGGCCAACCACCAGGCACTGCTGAGCTGTTATGAGTTTAATCTCTGGGGATCCCTTCCCAAGTTCGAACCCCTTCTTCAAGACAAGGACAAGAAGGAGTTCCGGGCTCTGGGTGAAGAGGGTGCGTCGGCGGCCAAAGCAGTTCTCCAGGCGGCTTCAGACGCAGCGGACACAGCTGCTCGGTCAATGGCTTCAGCGGTCTCCATGCAAAGGGCGTTGTGGCTCTCGCTATCGGGGCTGTCTGTGGAGTCCCAGTCGATAATGCAGGACCTGCCGTTTGATGGCAAAGCGTTATTTGCGGACCAGACAGATACCCGTCTGCATGGGATGAAGGATTCCCGCAACACCCTGCAGTCGCTGGGCCTCTATGTCCCGCCTTCTAAGGACAAGCCCAGGCCTCAAACCTCTGCTCCTCCGGCTCGGGGCAGATACGAACCCCCGCCTAAGCGGCAGAGAGACCAAAGGCGTCGGTCCCAACGCCAATCCCGTTCGGCCCCAAGGCCCGGGCCCTCGAAGGCCAAGAGGCCGGGGAAACGGCGTTTTTGACTCGTTGAGGGGGTTCACCGTGCCTGTTGCCAGTGTACCCCCCCCCAGTTAATAAAGTTGCGTTTTATCAACCGTTTATCGGCTTTCCGACTGCAATGGTCCCGTATAACGTCGGACCAATGGGTCCTCAGCACCATCTCCCAAGGGTACAGGTTGCAGTTTGTTTCAACCCCCGCCCCCCAACCATCTCCCGTCTCGGGAGCTGGCTGGGGACCCGGAGCATACCCTCCTCCTCCGCCAGGAGGTAGAGCGTCTCCTCTCCCTGGGAGCTGTGGGAGAGGGTACCTCGGGAATTCCAGGGCAAGGGATTTTACTCCAGGTATTTCCTCATCCTGAAGGCGAAGGGCGGGCTTCGGTCCATCCTCGACCTGCGGAATCTCAACCAGTTCCTGGTTCGTTGCAAATTCCGCATGGTGTCCCTAGCCTCTATTATTCCATCCCTAGACCAGGGGGATTGGTTTGCAGCGCTGGACCTCCAGGATGCGTACTTCCACATTTTCGAGGGTCACAGGCGTTTCCTCCGTTTCCTGGTGGATCAGGACCACTTCCAGTTTACGGTCCTCCCCTTTGGCCTCTCTGCTGCCCCCAGGGTATTTACGAAGTGTATGGTGGTGGTGGCGGCCCACCTCAGGAGGAAAGGGCTGCAGATCTTCCCCTACCTCGACGACTGGCTGCTCAAGGGTCGGTCTCGGTCTCTGGTGCAGCAGCAGATAAATTTCCTGCTGGACACCTGCGCAGCTCTAGGCCTACTGGTAAACGAGCAGAAATCCACGTTAATCCCAGTTCAGCGCATAAGCTTTATAGGGGCTCTGTTAGATTCCCGGGTGGCCACGGCCTCTCTCCCACAGGACAGATTCGAGACGCTCAGGGCTCTTATCGCCTCGGTCACGGCCTTCCCGGTAACCACGGCACAGGTGTGCCTTCAAATCCTAGGCCACATGGCAGCATGCACCTATGTGGTGCGACATGTCAGGCTCCGGATGAGGCCCCTTCAGCTTTGGCTG